TGTCACTCTGCTGCTCCAAGACCTGCCTTGGTTCCCTGCTGTCTCCAGCAGATGTCTGGCTCCTCAGAGGACATCGAAAGCCCTTCCTGTAGAGAACCAGTGAGCGTCTGCATGCTCACCTCACCTCGCCTGCTCCAGCCGTCCCGCACCCCAGCCTCTGCCCCCGCCCCAGTCTCCCCATTCTCAGAATGGCCAGTGGACAGCTGAGCTTCTGAGTCTTTCTGCCTCGAGCACCCAAACTCCCTTTCCTCAGCCTTTGAGACCCAATTCAGATGTCCCCTCCTTTGGGAAAGATTTTTGGCCTCCTTCCCCTCTGGGTGGGCAAGTCCTTCCCTGCTCCTCCTGAGGGCCCACTGCCCCCTTCCGCTCTGTGTTGTCACTGGCTGTCGATGTGTCTCTCCCCCGCCTACCTGTGAGCTCCGAGGTCAGTGGCCAAGCCTTGTTTACCACCAGATCCCAGCACCCAGACCGGGATGGGCGGCGAGGAGAGGCCCTCTGGAAACACTAGCTGGGGGTAGACATGTGGGGAGCGGGGGGTGTCCTCGTGGCAACTGAGCACTCTGCGTCTCATCCCACTGCAAGCTCTCACCTCCATCCCTCTTGTCCTCCTAAGGAGCATTGGACTGGGAGTCATAGGGCCTCACTGCTGGACTTGGGCCAGTTGCTTCCCTTCCTTGGGCTTAGTCTCCCCAGCAGTGAAGTGAGGGTGGGGGTGGGGGCTGGAGTCCATCATCTCTGACATTCCTTCTTCCCTCAGATCCTTTTCTCTGACTATGAATCACAAGTACCGTGTGTCAGGAACCATGCTAGTCATTTTACATACACAGATTCTAACGTCCATGACATGAGGTGCTTTATATACAACATTCAGTATGATGTCTGGCACATCGTAAGCTTCAAACAAACAGAAGCTGCTATTATTGTAAAGATATCGTAAATTATAATCTTTGGGGCGTCTGGGTGGCTCAGTCGGTTAAGCGTCTGCTTTCAGCTCAGGTCATGATCCCATGGGGATCAGGCCCCATGTTGGGCTCCCTACTCAGCGGAGAGTCTGCTTCTCCCTCTCCCTCTGCTCGTGCTTGCTCTCTCTCGCTCGCTCTCTCTTTCTCAAATAAATAAATAAAAATCTTAAAAAAAATTATTATCTTTACAGCCATCTAACACAGTGCCATTTTACAGATGAGAAAAGTAAGGCAATGAAAGGGGGAGTGACCCGTCCAAGCGCAGACAGCTGGGAACGGTGCAACTGACCCCAGTTTTCACGTGTCACGCCACCCTGCTTTCCTCACTCGGTGGGCCAGCCCTTTTATCCATTCGTTCAGTAAATATTTACACACGCCTACTAAGTGCCAGGCCTGGTATAAATAGCGCAGATGCAGACAAGACTCTGCCCTCGTGGAAGGTACAGCTTCCTGGGGAGAAGAGATTAACTAAATACTCACACAAATACATATATAAATCATGACGAGTGCTCCGTGGTTTGCAGGAAAAACCAGGGTGCTGTAAGACGTACTTGGCCTGGGGTGACCCAGATGGGGAAGCTTCTCGCTAATCTGGTTAACACTTTGCTATTCCTGGCGGCTAGAGACCTGCCCCCTCCCCCACTCCAGACCAGCTTAGGGCCAGACGACCCTGGAGGAGGGGGGCCGGATGCGGCCCCTGGAACGCCCCCCAGCACTGGCCTTCCAAGTCCGCACCCCCAACTCTTTGAAGACTGTCCCTTTACAACTGCCCTTTCCACCGAAGGATTCAGACACAAATTGTACTTTAAATTCAATATCGGTCATTAATATTTCATGATTACAAAACGTTAAAGATAATGTCAGTGGAAGGAGCGTTTGCATGGGCAGAATGGATGACTCAGAAGTTCGGGGAGAGGGGAGCCGCATACTAAGTGGCTGGGGAGTCTTTGAGCTAATCCAGTATGACAGCGGCGGCGGCTCCCGACCCAGTGCAGCCTTCTCCAAGGTGCTCGCCAAGCTCAGCCACTGTGTATAAATATTTCCCCTCTGATTCTTGTCACCTCGGGTTTGTTACGCCCAGAGCAGGCGGGGCCACCGTGACCCCACCAGCATCCTCTGTTTCTGAGGAAGCCAAATGGATGCTTCAGCAGGAGGCCACGGGCAGGCAGAAACCCCTGGCATTGCCCTTGGGGCTCGGGCTGGCTGCTAGGAAGCAGGAGGTCTGGGGGTGGAGCCCTGACCCTGTGTGGATTTGCTCCGTGACCTTGGAACCATCGCTGTTCCACCCTGAGCTTTTATTTCCTCTTCTGTAAAGTGGGGATAATAATTTTGCCCTTGTCTTGCAGAGATGGCAAGAAGCTGGAGTCGGTGGATTATTTGTGACACTCCTGGATTCGTGCCTGGCACCAAAAAAACATGACTTGAGGGGCATCTGGGTAAGAGCCGGGCTTTGGAGTCAGACAGGCTGGGGCTGGGAATTTGGACAAATGACTTCACCTCTCATCCATACATTGGGGATAAGGGCAGAACCGACACCTCTTAGGTGGGAAGATTCAACGAGTGAGCTCACTACTGTAAAATGCCTTGCACAGAGTTGGTGCTTGTAGTCAAGTGCACAGAGTCAGGATTGATAGATACCACTAATTGAGCACTTATTAAGTACTAGGCAAGTTCTTTCCATGCATGATCCTATTGAATCCCCCCATTAGCTCTGTGAAGCGGGAGCCATTCGTTTTCTCATTGATTAATACCTGGTGAGGGTTGGGCAGGGGTTGTTGATTGCAGCTCAGGGGGGAGGGTCTCTAGCCCAGTGATCAGTCTCCTTCCAGAGCCTCATCTTCCCCATGGTCGGTTGCTAGGCACTGGTGGGTGGGTGGGTGGGTGGGGGGGCTCAGATTGCAGAGAGTACCCGGGAAAGGGAGCTCACGTGGCCTTGCTGCGGAGGGAACTAGGCAGACTTGCTCCAAATCCCAGCTCTGCCACCGCACATCCTTGGGCAAGTTTCCTCTCCGAGCCTCGATCTTCCCATCAGTAAAGTGGGTGCTGATCGGTTACTGATCATGATTCAATAGAAGTCCACACTAGAAAGCCTCCAGCCCAGAATATGGATGAGGTAAACACTGTAAAATGTTTGTGGGAGAGTCCCCTCCACATCCTTTCTTCTGTGAAATGGCAGCATTATAGACTTTGTATACCACTCTAGCTGCTCTCTGCAAAGAGACCCACTGGGCCAGAAGCACAATGCTTAACCCGAGTGGGACGTCAGGCAGGGTGCCGAGCCGGACATGTGGGGGGAGATGTATCTGTGGGCAGGGAGAGGGGGCTCTCTGCCCAGCAGCCAGGCCAGTCTCCCCTGGCCGCCCAGGGAGCAGGGAGGGAAGGAGTGGGAGCTCTCCTCCCCCCCAGTCCAGCCGCCACTTCCTCTCCAGCCACCTTTGTTACTTTCCTTTCATGCGGTGGAGGAGTGGATTCAAAGGCTCCCGAGTAGCAGGCACTGAGGTTTGAGCCAGCTTTGTATTTTCTTTTAAACTGAAGTTGAAAGAGACGGAGGGAACTTCTGCATAGGGACTTCCTTGGCCCACGGGCCGGTGGGGCCTGCAAAGTGGGAGGGCACCGGCAAGGGGAGGAGGAGGAAGGCTGGTGGGGGGCTCGCAGGGCCAGGAGGGGCTTGGGCCACCACCCCAAGTGCACGCAGGGGCAAGTTTGAATGTCGCCCACCCACGCACCCGAGGCTCAGAGGCTCTGAGTCTCTCTGCTGTCATGACTGCTTACCGGCAGCTCTGCAGGCTCCTGGACGTTGAGAGCCGATGGCAGGGGGTGGGGCTTGGAGACCAGGTCCAGGCAGCATTGCTCTGGTTTTGGAGGAGGCCTGCAGTTGCCACCTCGCCTCTCCTGGGCCTCTGCGAACCCCGTGGTCTCAGCTCCACACCTCCATGGCCTTACTTATCTGGACCCCATGCATAGAGCCTCCCCTCTTTCTCTTGCAGCTTACCCGTGCCTGCTGCACCAAACTGCCCGTGGTGCACGCGCGCACACACACACGCACGCGCACACGCGTGCACAGGCATGCACTCTTCCAGAAAGCCAGGCCAAGCACCTTGAAGTAGTCCCGGACCCCCTCTCTATCTCTTATCTCCACATCAGTCATTCCATCAGAAAATCCCTGGCCCTGCGAGCCCCCCGCCATTTTCAGCCTGTCCCCCAAAGCTGACCACATCTCACTTTCTCCATGGCTGTAGCCCTGGGCCAGGACACGGTCTTGTCTTCCTGCCACTATCACATTTAACTTCCTCCTTCACCCCCCAAAGGATCTATTCTCATGCAGCGGCCAGAGGTATCCTGTCAGGTAATGTCCCTCCTCAGCTCAAATGGTGGCCCTGACCTGTGATTCCCACCTTATTCAGAGTAAAGTCCAAAGAACTTACAACGGCTGATCACTCTGCCCCTCGCCAACCACACTGGTTTCCTTGCCATTCCTCCAATATGCTGGGCAAACTACCACCTCAGGGCCTTTGCATTGGCTGTTCCCTCTGCTTAGAACACTCTTCCCTCGGACATGGGCATGACTTCCTCACTTTCCTAAGGTCTCTGTTGAAATGGCTCCTTCTCAGAGAGGCCTTCTTCTAAGAGGAACAACACCCTCTTCTTCCCAATCCCCTTCCCCGGCTCTCTTCCTTCCCGGTTTCTCACTAGCACTTCACATCATCTGACATATGTACACCTGTTTGCTGATAATCTAGCGCTCCCCCACAAAGACAAGAGCTTTTCTGTCTTGTTCAAGGCTGTATCCTCAGTGTCTGAAACAGGGCTTCGTATGTAGTGGGTGCTCAATAAATGCTGAGGGAAGAAAGTCAGCTTCCAGACCAGCTCTCGCCTTTTGGCTTGGGATCCTTCCCAGGTCTTTGTTCCTCCGCATCAGCTTTTGCCTCCCGCAACCCGGCCATCTGTGCCCGGGTTTCTTTCTCTTTGCCCCGCCTCAGCCCCGCCCATCACACGGCCTTCGCCCCGCCCCAGTATTCGCCCCGCCCCCCGGCTCACCCGCCTCCATGGCCAGCACGGTGATATTGTGCCAGCCCGCCGTCTCGCGGTCCAGCCCCTTGCCCGTCACGATGGCGCCTGTGTCCGCATCGATATCAAAGATCTGGTCTAAATCCGAGTCGCGGTCAATGGCATACCTGAGGGAGGCAGGGTGGGGCTGATTGAAGGTGCCCTGGCGCCAGGTGGAGCCCGTGCCCAAGTCCACCAGCCTTCCCCCACCCCCCAAAAGAGGCATCATCTGCCTGGGAGACACCAGGAGCAGAGAAACCCTTTCCAAGAGAGGAGGGGTGGGAAGGGATGTGGGTTTGCGTCTCTGCTGCACCGGTACCCGCCGTGTGACCACGGGCCACCCTCAACCTTTCTGAGCCTCGGTTTCCTCTGCTGGGTAATGGGGCTAATAATTTGCACCCCACAGTTGTGAGGCTGGAAGTGGGCAAAGTCCCTGGCACTCACTGCATATTCGATTCTTATCTTTCCCTAAGAGCTGACCCTCAAATTGGGCTTGGGAAGGGGGCGGGGCTGGTGGGGGGGCGGGTCGGGGGAACAGAGGGGCGATGAATCATTCAGAGAATGGCGGGCAGGAATTACTCAGAGAACGGCTAACGGCGCCCAGCGCGTCGAACGGAGGAGCAGGCAGAGGGTGGCCCTGGCACGCGCGGGGCGCGGGATCCAGGGCTTGGACGTGTCCTGGGGGGCGGGGGGCGCGAGGGGAATTCTGAGCAGGAGAGAGGGGGTCGGCGTGGAGGCCCCAGCCCGGCCACACGGCTGAGCGAGAGCGGTGGCGAGGGGTCCGGGGCGACGGCCGGCGGCCCCTCCCCGCCGGCGCAGCACGCGCGAGCTAATCTGCGGCTTTTCAGTTGCCGCGTGAAAAAGCCCTTTGTTCCGCCTTCTTCCCGGGCCTTTGTGCGGCGGCTCCAGGCCTGAAAGGCCCGTGTCCAACACATGTCTCGGGCGGCGGCCCAGAGAGGCCCCGCCAGCTCCGGCCGCCGCTTCCCCGCGCTGATAACGTGGGCGGGGGCGCCGCCAGGCTGCGCGGCCCACAAAGGCCTCGAATGCCAAGCAAGAGCGCATGCATTGTGCGGCGAGGACAAAGAAGCTTGGCGGGGCGGGGCTCAGCCTGAGCCACCCGGGGCCCTCCCACAGGGAGGAAAGGGATCCTTTCCCCATCTCCTAGAGGGGGAAACTGAGGCCCAGGGAGGCGAGGGCGCCAGAAACGCCCCCTGCTGGAGGCGCAAAGCCCTGAAGCGACCCTACAGTGGGGCTTAGCTGCATTACACCTTCCCTGGGCCTCATTCCTCATCTGTTGAATGGGAATAATGACACCCAGTGGCACTGCCCGCATCTGAGAGTAATCAGAGCTGCGTTTGAATCCCAGGCTACTTACTCCACCTGTGTGACCTTGGACAAGTCACTGGACCTCCCTGGCCTCCATTTGCTTATCTGGAAAAGGGGGTGATCTGTACTCCCTCACACTGGTGTGGGTTAGAGGAGCTAATTCATGAGTCTGGGCATAGGCATACGTGACATCCCTTATTCTTTTCATAGTTACTGGGGTGGAGGCAAAGATGGTGAAAGCTACGGCCAACTGTAAAAGGCTGTGTGTATGGGTATGGTGGGCATTACCGCCAGTTTCCTGAGCTCCCATCAACTCTCCTCCCTGTCCCTAAGCTGCTAAGCCCACATCCCCCTTGCCCCTGACCAACCTGGGGCCTCCTGACCTGGGCAAAAGTGTATGGGGGGCTTCAGACCCAAGATGATACTTCCTTCCACTGGCACAGCACTTAGTAATTTGTAGCCTGCTTTTCCTTTAGCCATTCCTCCCTGCATTTCTTTATGCTTAGACATTAACTGAGTGCCTTCTCTGTTCTGCTCTGTGCTAGGTCCCGGGGATAAAAGGGCAAATGAGACAGATGAGGTCCCTGCCTGGCATCCTGTGAAGCTGATGGGATCTTCCCTGTTTTGCAGATGAAGACACTGAGGCTCAGAAAGGAAACTTGCCAAGCGTAGGACTGCCAAGTGTGGTTGAGCAGGTTGTATCCTGCACAAAGGTACCAACCAGGCTGAAGGGGTGAAATGGGGTTAAAGTCTAACCAGTGTTCAGCTTGCCATGTGTCCTAGCTGAGGGAGGATCTCCTCAAAAGGGATCTTTTTCTTATTTATGCAAAGATGCCCTGTGGGCTAGTGATGACCCTGCTCAAAACTGCACAGGAACTGTCACAGAATTGGTATTTGTACCCAAATTTGGGACTCTCTACCCAGAGTTCTTTTTTAGCTCATTGAACCACCCAAAGCTGCAAAGCATGGAGCCTCAGATCCTCTTTGTCCCCAGCCTGGGCCTGTCAGATGTTTGGGTCCAAAGGAGGTAGAACCAGGCTCCGAGTGTCAGCTCGGCTGGAAGGAACCTCCCCGATTCTCCTGGGAGAATGGAGTCCAGGAGAGGGCCAGGGCCTGACACAGCCTGGGGCTCCTGAACACTGGGTCAGGCCTGGGCATGAGGCAGAGCTTGTGGGAGGATGCCTGCCATCTTCTTGCTTCTCCCGTTCCTGCTTAGAACTCCCTTGTCTTTTCTCTCCTCCCAGTTTTTCTCTTCTGTTCCCTCCTGGAGGGGAAGGCGGGGAGCTGAATCTAAGTGGAGGCAGCTGTTCCCAAGGCCATGGGGCGGGCCGCAGGGACCTGCCATTAACCAGCAAAAGACTTGGGGCTGCAGGTCAGTGTGGCTGGCTGAGCCCCGGTGGTTTTGTTGCAGCTCAGGAAGCCAGCCAGTGAGTGGGAGGGAGGGGTGGAGGGGCGCGGCATGAAGCAAAGAGCGTGGCCTGGCAAACATGGGGGGCGGGAGAGGGGAGGCTTATGGACCTCACGTGTAGGTGCATGAGTTGTGCGTCTGGTCGGTGTTGTGGGCGGAAAGTGTGTGTGTGTGTGTGTGTGTGTGTGTGTGTGTGACCTGAATATGTGAGTGGTGTGCATGTGTGTCTGTGTGTGTGGTCCTGCTTTGCTGTTGGAAAAGCTAAGGCTCAAGAGGCAGCTGCTTAGGCCTAGGTATGGATCCAAGTCCACAATG